GACTGGTTGAGCGATTGGATGTCGAGGGTGCTCACACATGGCCTCGTGGCCATGGAGGATATGGCGTCCTTCTTGGGGAGACGGCCTTCACGACCACTGCGGTGGAGGTCATCCGGCCGTTCCTGGGACCTGTGTACGCCTGGGTCGCTGCTGTCCCAGCCTCTGCAGTAGTGTTACCATTGCCCAAAGCTATCAGGCTCCTGTTTGCATTCTTGGTACGTCAGCTGAGAGCCGGGCTGCGCACTCAGTCGGTAGGGACAGATGAGCAGGGCCCGGAACTTTTCAGGACGGATGCCAAGGCGGAGGGGGAGGAGGTTTGGGTAGCCGGCTGGTGCTGCGCGGACTCTTCTGATCCCCGCGCGTGCAGATGGTTTTCGGAAAGATTGGATAGAAGAAATTCGGCCTGGCTTTTCGAGGCAGGAGAGCCTTACAGATCAATAGCCACGTTGGAGCTTCTGGGGACAGTGCTGGCGTTGAGAGCGTTTGATGTGAAGGCAAGAGGCCCTTCAGTCATGGCATGCTCGGCAGGCACTGACAATTTGGGGAACCGATTTGCTGTAGGCAAGATGATGTCTACAAAGTACCCCCTCAACATTATGCTCATGGAAGTAGCCAACGAATGCTTGAAGAGAGACTTGCAGCTCTCGCTGCATTGGCTGCCGCGTTTGCAGAACACGTTGGCAGATGCGCTGACGAATCAGCAGTTTGCTGCGTTCTCTGCTGAGCTCCGTGTGAGGGTGTGTGTAAGTGCTGAGGAAGGCACTCTCATGCATGACATGTTGAGCTTGGGGAGGAGCTTGTACGAAGACCTCAAAGAGGCCAAAAGCAAGAACTCGCAGCCATCGCACAAGCGCAGAAAGAAGGAGAAGGAGCCGTGGTCTTGACGCACTTGAGCAAAGGGCGCCTGCGGTGGGGGAGGTTGTGACCGCCTTTGTGCAAGCGCGAGGGACCAGATGGATGGTCGGCGCAGTATACAAAGGAAAGGGCCATAGGCATTGCCTCAGGATCCGCACTCTCTTGTCAGAATTGACGAAGGAAAAAGAGACCGCCTCCACTCGCTGTGCTGTGCTGTGTGTGAGAGCTTCTTGTGAACAGTCATGTTTAAGTGCTCCGCACGTCCGCTGTCATGTTTGGTTTCCCCGTTTGGGGTTTTCCGGTTCTGAAGTGGCCACCCCCGTGCGTGAGCGTGTTTGGCTACTGGGCCAAAGCTCGTGTGGTGTCCCCCCCCTAAGGGCCCCCTCGTTTGGGGGGGTTTGCCTCTGGGATGTTTGAGGCATGTTTAACTGGCTGTGAGTGCAGCCAGCTCCTCCCTTCTTCGTAGGGGCGTCATGCGGGGCGGGCTCGCCCATCAAAGTAGGACGCACCCCGAATGGGGTTTTGGCGTGAGTGCGCCATGTTGTGCTTGCGTGGCTGCACGCGTGTGCACGTGCTTCCTTGCTTCGCGCTTGCTGCGAGTTGTTTTGGATTTGCCGCGTAAGTTTTTAAGTTAGGCTCTAGGGGGTAGGGCCCCCTCTGTTGTGTCAGATGGGTTCCCCCCGGTTTCTTTGGCTAAGGGTAGCTTAAGATGATGTGGCATGCTTGGAACAGTCAGTTGCAAGCATGCATTCACAGTTGATTTTTGCAAGACTGCTTGGCATGTTCACCGGTCGGCTTGACATGGTGAAGATACATGGGATTTGCAGTCTGGCCCTATTTTTGACACCCATCCACCCATCCCTTTTGGCTCATCGGATTGATGGAGATCTTGATGAAGCTCTTACTCACTGCAGTGGCAGTGGGCATGCTTTTCGGTGCTTGTGCCATGCGATTATGGCAGAGCCGGAGTTATACCTGTTCAGACCAGGAGGTCTGGATTTGTCTGCAATATGGGAAACGTTATCATCACGGCCATTGTAAGGCTGTGCCGTCTCATGCAAAGCGTCAACATTTTACGCCTTGCAAAGTCTGCACCAAGAAGATTGCTTGATGCATTGGAGACTACATGGGGGGAGGGGAGGTTGTGACCGCCTTTGTGCAAGCGCGAGGGACCAGATGGATGGTCGGCGCAGTATACAAAGGAAAGGGCCATAGGCATTGCCTCAGGATCCGCACTCTCTTGTCAGAATTGACGAAGGAAAAAGAGACCGCCTCCACTCGCTGTGCTGTGCTGTGTGTGAGAGCTTCTTGTGAACAGTCATGTTTAAGTGCTCCGCACGTCCGCTGTCATGTTTGGTTTCCCCGTTTGGGGTTTTCCGGTTCTGAAGTGGCCACCCCCGTGCGTGAGCGGGTTTGGCTACTGGGCCAAAGCTCGTGTGGTGTCCCCCCCCTAAGGGCCCCCTCGTTTGGGGGGGTTTGCCTCTGGGATGTTTGAGGCATGTTTAACTGGCTGTGAGTGCAGCCAGCTCCTCCCTTCTTCGTAGGGGCGTCATCATCATCATCATCATCATCATCATCATCATCATCGACATCATCGTTGTCATCATCCTCATCATCATCATCGTCATCATCAGCATCAGTATCAAGTGTCGCAAAAGTTAGTGGATGCTTTTCCTCTCTCCAGCCCATCAGGCCTATGAGGCATCTGCACTGGCTGTTGCGAATCCCCTTTTTATGTAGATTGAGGGGTTTGCTGATATTCAATCAAAACTCTGGAACCCTGGCTTCCTGAGACCATTCTGTCGTGCTTAGAAGGGCCTGATATTGTATGCTGCTGTTCCAGATGAAACAGATCGTGCCAGAGCCCCGTCAGCAAGCACATGCCATGCTGAGATCGCGGATTTGTTTCTATGCCACCCAGCAATGGTCTATGGTCCTACTTACATGACCCAACGTGACATCCCACAATCAGTGGCTATGAGTTAAGGCTGCACAAGAGCGGTTTTGCAGGGCCTATTCAAGGGGCATACCTCCAAAGCATGCTTATGCACGACGGACGGGTGTGACACGTCCATTTCCGCATGTTCGGAGCTTTCCTTGTGCAACACCATTGTGGGTTTGTTTGCCTGCTTGCTTGTTGTTTGTTTGTTTGTTTGTTTGCTTGCTTGTTTGCTTGCTTGTTTGCTTGTTTGTTTGTTTGTTTGTTTGTTTGTTTGTTCTTACGGCCCTGTTATTGTGGCCCCTGTTTCGCTCGGATGCTTGCACAGCTTTGGTCTCGTTTTAGTCCTTCCGCTTGGCGTTGCGTGAGCAGAAGTCCTTCTGTTCCTAGCCGGAAGGACCCAAGAGTCCTTCTGTTTGTTTAGTCCAAACATCGCAACAGACTTGAAGATATTCGATCAGATATTCTCGGAAAAGCCGAGTTTCTGAAGCCCAACTTGTCAGGTACTTTGCATCTCGGCACCTCTCAATTCAGTCTTGTGATGGTAACGCAATGTGCGCCCACACAGCTTCTTGTCAGTCAGCCACCTCATTGGAATAGCACAGGCTCTGCTAAACCCAATCTAGCTTAAGATGCACATCCATCAGATTGTTCCATCAACCCCAGGCAGTCAGCTGGACAGCCAGGAAAGCAGCCACATCCCGGCCACCAGTTTTATGTTTGTTGTTTTCCTCTGATGGCATGCCAGGTGGACAGAAGACTGAGTTAGTCCCAAAGACGCAGCTTTGGGGATTCTACGCATTTTGGAGCACTTTTCATAGTGACCCTATGTTTTGCTGGACGCAACTCTTGTCAGGTGGCCACAGGGCTGGACGTGCCAGAGGACTGACAGTCGTGACTGGATGCTCTCAGGATTCGATCAAACTGAAATGGCTCTCAAGCACGGCCGGAGAATGGAAAGGCGTATTGCCAGTTCAGTTCATAATTGTAATCATTGCACATTCGCTCCTGGAAGCCGCATCATGGCGACGAACTGCCGCTCACTTACTTGTGCACGTGACGGTTTGTGATTGTTGCTGGTGTCTGGTGTGCTGTGCGGGTGTCTTGGTCTCCAGGAGATCCAGGACATTGGCTCGGACACCAAGCTTGGGGCAGGTTGATTTGTAAGAGCGTATCATCAAAGGCAGGGCGGATGCCGCGGTTTTGACTCCTTTTGAGACCATTTGGCGACTTGTGCACCACAAGTCTTTGTAGGTAGCAATTCCTTCTTCGTGATATCATGCAAGCCGTTGCTCATGTCATTGCACAAGAGGGATTGGAAGGAAGGCATGTTTCTTGCCGCGTTCAAATCGATCTTGCTGTGGAGGCATCCGGAATCGGAGTGCGTTTCAAGACATTTCGGGGCACTGCAACACCTTGCAGCTTTCTGCTTTCCCCAAGTGTTCGGCTGAGGTGTTGCGGGCCGTGATGTGGACACGCCGCACTGGCCGCGGGCTTATCGCGGTAGAGCTGGATCAGGTATCATCCTAACAAGCCTTGGCCACTGGCACGAACTTGTGGATTGCTTTCAGTACTACTTGCAGCAGCACGTGGAACATTGAATGCTTGTGATTCGTGCACGCCTCCCAATATGTTGTACTGTCCCGATCGCGATGCCGGGCGGGTTGTCCACCTGTTTTTCAACCCACATGCCGATGATTTCAACGGCGGTCGACACGTACGCTGGCATGGCGGATCTTAGACACGTTGCTTAGGTCAGAGAAGCCGATGCAGGATGCTACTGGAGGCCTGAGACTGCACGAGCTCGACTGGCCCTGAGCTCAGCTGAATGGTTTACCATTCATTTATTGTCAACTCTAGGACAGGTGTTTGACTCAAGGCTTCAACCAACTTGGATTTTGCCTGCCTTTCGGTTTGAGGCACTTGGTGCTGGGCGTTGACTCAAGTGTTGCCAAGGCCAAACGTGCATGGCTTGTCCTGCGCATCATCAGCATTCATCTTCCTCTTTGAGCTGGTGAGGCCAGACTGGATGTTCGGGAGATTCGGGTTTGGAACAGCTTGGCAGTGCCTTTGTGTGGGAGACTGTGACAAGTCGCGTGCGTGTCTCTGTGTGTGATACCGTGTTTAATTCTATGGCTGTCATGTCGTGTCTCAGAAGGTTCGCAAGAAGCTGGTGCCTTGGAGACCCGGGTACGGCAGGTTTTGCATGGGCCAGCCCCCTACCTCCCTGGAGTGCTACGCGGCGGCGCTGATCTATGCCGTCATCTATGCCTCCAGGTCCGCCTTTGGAAGCAGAATGCAGGATCCCTTTTGGCTGCTGCCTCATGTAAGAACAGCTATGTGTGGTGGGCCGCCTCGATGCGTTCATTGACACGATGGACCAGTGACATGTCATGCTGGGATGCCCTGAGACTTGATGGTCATGTTGTCGCTTCGCAGGTTTGGCTTTCAGCAAATCTGTATCCGCATTGAAGCGTCGCAACATTTGAACGACTCTGTTGCCTTCGAAGGAAGTTACTGTTGGTTTTCTCGGGTGTTGGATGAATCATCGTCTGGAGGCCTCTTGCGGGGGCAAACAGTAAAGTGTCACCGTGTCATCTCTCAGCACGAACCACGGTTTGATTAGTGGATTGTGGCGCGCTTGCAGGTTCGACGGAATCAGGACTCTGGCGCCTCACTTCCGGGTGACCTTCTACGCAACCACAGGCACCGAGCCTGAGTCCGCTCTTAGTGGGCACAGGCTTGCGCTTCAGGTCGTTACGCATCAAGAGGCTCCTTCAAAGTGCAGGATTGGCCGGGCTTAACACAATGTACTGGCTTGGGTCAAGAACGTTGCGCCCATGTCTATCAGCGGCACTTGCTGTAGATGGTAAGCTCAAGAACAAATTGTGTGTGTGTGTGTTCATTGATAATTAACCCTTGAATGGTTGTTGATCGGTGAGATTAATGAATGCAGTCAGTTCTATTGCACAGTTACACGTGTCACTGAGCTGAATGATGAAAACAACATGCTCTCTTCTCCAAGGTATGTCTTCAAGCTAGAACTTGCTCCACATTTTTTTTGTTGTTTTTTCAACCAGTGAGAATCAGGCACAAAAAGGATAGCACAGGATGGCAGCTTGAGGATGTCTCATGCCCGTTGCAAGAAGTGGTACGTCCCGGCCAGGCTAGCTTCCAAACGGACGGACCAGGCATTCACATTTGATACACAGATGCTGTTTGGCCATGGCATGCAACATTCGAGCTGGGTTGCCGATCTGCTGGTTGTTTTCGATGCATTTGCAGGCTTTTTTGCCAGGCTGGACCATTTACTACATTGCGCATTTGCTGGCGGCCACGAACCCGGCGCTCTTTGGCCACTGGGTTTATCCCACAGGCTGGCCCCGATGGCTGCTTGCTGTGCCGCTGGCTTTGGCTTATGTCTTTGGCTGTGGTAACATGGAGGGAAGCTTGAAAAGACATCCGCAGATGGGTGCAAAAGACGGTTTGCCAAGAGCAGTGTGTTCTTGGTGAGCAGCAGTTTAGATGCTCTTGCTGGCTTTCATGCTATTATGCTGGAATGAAGTGACACCTTGTCGATGTGCTGTGAAGAAGCCAGCGAGTTTCCAAATGGCACATATCAAGTCAAGGTATTCACCACAGGCAGAGCAGATTCTCATGTCAATGTGGGAGATGCAAGCTGTTGGACTCTTTGTCAAGCAATGCGACTGCCGGCCATAGGTTGCCGTTTACGTTTTTTTTGTCGGCCACGTTTCAATATGCTTTACGTGCCTCTTTATCGGGACAACCCATGTCCACAGACCTAATGCCTATTGAGGCCCGTTCACACCACAAGGCGTGCTATCGAGCAGCCACCTAGAGTATACCGATTTGACATGCACAAGTCAGATAGTGCATCTCAGCTTGTTGCTTGAAGCCGGAGCTGGGCCCCGTGTTAGGATTGTTGATTCTGCCTCATTGGTTGGTTGGCTGGTCGGTTGGCTGGTTGGTTGGCAGGTTAGTTGGCTGGTTGGTTGGCAGGTTGGTTGGCTGGTCACTTCGACCTAGGCGTCAAGTCAAAACAAATCCATGCCCCAAGCTGGCAAGTTGAAAACTCGGATTCAAATTCGAACAACTGTGGATGGACGAAATCCTGAACCACTTGGAAACCGTGGGAAACCATTGTTGGTTGGTAGTTACAGGGAAAGCATCATTCCAGGGGGTGGTGCAGGATTTCGTCCATCCACAGTATCACGTTGACGCTGAAAATTCTGGAGGGGCATTCGGGCACTCACTCAATTTTCCAAAAACGGCTGGGGACTGGTTTCCCATGGTCCAATGTGCTAGTTTCTTGCCAGTGCATTCACTCTCGGGTCCGTCCGACCAGGAGTAGTCTTTCTTGCCAGCAGCATTTACTTCTACAAGCACTGGATCGAGCGCATGCGCCCTGGGGCGTTCATGAAATGTTTCAGGCATAGAATGTTGCCTCAATGCTCAAAGGAAACTACTTCAAAAGGGAAATGAGCAGGGAATTCAGGTTGTGTCTCGCACATATCCTTGAAGGCTGATCCGTTTTAGGCGGCATGGCAAGCTCCTTGTAACTTTGAAATAGTTTGCTGGCATAACCAGCCCTCAATTCCATACTGCAGGGATCTGCGCAATGTACGCTCAGATTCTTGAATGCGATTGTTCGCCTGTTCGCGTGCCTTGGCATTTGCCCTCGAAGGGCAAAGAATTGGCTTTGGGCTTGTTTCTTGCGGCAAGCCCATCCAGCTGTTGTCGGGGCGCAGGGGCACTCGGGAACTGGCCCGTTGTACCCTTGGCTCCACGCGTTTCAGCAGCTTCCCGCGAGGGGGGGGAGGGGGGGAAGCCTGACCTGACAGCAGTGAAGTATGATGCTGACACACCCGACTAAGGATGGCGTGTGAAGCGTTTGAAGTGTTGATCTTCGGATGGAATTGCCAATCGTATGAGGACTGCAGCAACCAGCCTTTCTGAGAAGAGCGGGCAAGCACCAGATGTTTATGTGGTAGCTGGAGGTGTTCTTCATGCTTTTGCTGAGCGGCATTGAATGGAAGATCCATCGGACTGCTTAGCGATACAAACAGCGCACAGGGAGAATGCCAGATGTTTGAGCTGACACGGAATACGACATGAAATGCACTCTCATGTAGAGTATTACATGATGGGCCCGAGCACCCCACAACAAATACACCGTGTATTTGCCCAGATATAGATTGATACACGTACACACACACACACACATGCACACAAGACATCATATGGGAACAACCGTTTCAGTTCGTCTCAGTTCCGGTTGAAGGCCTTGTTCATGTGTGCAAACCGCAGTGCTGCGACAGGTACCGACATTTCATGGAGGACGTGCCACCGGTTGATCGGCTGGATGTAATTTTGAGGTTGGGGGCTGCGGCATGAGATGCGAACATCCAGGTCATTCGGCTTAGCTTTCACGCATTCCTCTCCGAAGCTTTGAAGGCTTTGCCGTAATGCAACCTTCACTACTCAGCCCCCCGCCTTTTTTGCAGACAGTGCAAAAAAGGAACATGCCATAGTCATCGGCAAGCTGGAGAGAACGTTCCCCGACACTTTCGCTTGAGTGGCCTAAACTTCTGCTGGCAGCTTTGGCTGGATCTTGTTTTCCGCCGAATTGCAAGCTTGCACACATTTCAGAGAAAGCAAAATATCAAATCTGCGAAGGTATAGTGGCTTGCCCCCCCCCAAAGCCGAGATGAACCCATGACGCTCAGCACATGCATGGATAATCAATCCACCTGGGATCACCCGAAGCTGAGGGGTATGCACAATTACAGCATATCATCCCATGACCTTGGGCCCAAGGTCATCCCATGACCTTGGGCCCAAGGATCACCACTTCGGGCTTTTGGCAGTCGGTGCATTGAGCGCAGGACCGATTCCGGCCATACTACGTGCCGGGCCTTGCGGGCCTCATGTGCGCCTCAAGACTCCTGACCTGGCTTCTGAAATCATGACTTTTGGGGAGTGTCCTTTCAAACCACCATGTAGAGGGTTCGCCAAAATGGCTGTAAAAAGAAAAGGTGAGCCCCAAATGGCTTGCCCTGGTTTTATCATGGAAAGGACTCATCTTGTTTTTCCCCCAGATGCCTCCAATCGGATTTTTCTTTCCCTCCAATCCGCGACCGCGAGGGTTTCAAGAACTCGCCGCGAGGTACTTCCACTGGCTGGACCTGGTGGACCTGTTCAATCAGTGGCTGGACCCGAAGCCGGGGGCCCAGAGAGGCCGAGCAGGCCTCAGCGGCTCGGAGCCTCGGAGCTTGGCCCAAAAAGCCACCAAGGACCATGAAGGGTTTCTAAATGCCACATATAAAATAGAAATATATATATATATATAAAGCATATATGAAAACAACATATATATATATATATACATACACATATTTGTAAAATTGTGCAGACACATGCATACATGCAGAACAAACACTATACATCATACATATCATGCGTGTTTGTATCTATAGATACACGCATTTAGTTTTATGTGATTCCTGATCCTTGATTGGGTTTCCAAAGTAAAGTTTTGGCCGAGACCATGTTCCCCCCCCCTCAGAAGTTCTGTTCGTCCGGGACTCGGCGTCGGCAATGTTTGTGCGGTTTCAGGACACTGTAGAAATCGCAGGCCCTTCCAACAGGAGCTGCGATTTTTTCCTTGAGGGGCAATGTTGCTGGAGAGCTCCTTCAGGTGAATTTGAGGATTTCCCAAGGGCTTACCATCATCGATGCACTTTTCCACTTGTTTGTGTAAACCGCACACATCCCCTTTTCAACTTCGAAGCAAATAGTTTTCGTCCAGAGGTACTGGGAGCATGTGGTGGTGGACTTGCCGGATCAGGTGGGTGGGGCATGGCATGGCTGACTGGCCAGATTCAATTTGGCTTGAATAATTGGGGACCAGAAGTTGGTTGGGGTCGCCCAATGGTGAGCTTGTCGAGACTATTGCTGGACGCAATGTATGTTTTGAGTTTTTGGCTGCGCTGTGTGCCATTGGAGGTGCCTTCGCAAAGTAATGTGTGGATCTTCCCTGCACCAAGAAGGCACTCGACCGCCCCGGTCGGTCAGGCGTGGACCATTGCGGATGTGCGACTCACAGGCCTCTTCATGCCGCTGAGCAGCATAGCCGACGCAGGGGATGTGGCACTGAGAGTCCAGCGATTTTTAGCTTCTGGTGAAGTAATGGGCTTGCTTCAAGCGAGTATTCAGCTTTGGCAAGCCCCCTGGCATTGCAATTGAGAATCATGAAGATGGCACTAAGTATTTCCGCACACAACTGTTTGCCCGACTGTTTTGAAGCTCGATTGAGCAGCTGGCGGGGCTTTTTCAGCAGAATGCTTCACTGCAGGTCTAGCATGGCGCTCTTCATGATTACCCTCCACAACAAGGGCGTGCTCACCGGTGGCAAGAACACCCTGATCACGGCAAGCGGCTCGGGGTTTGGAGCATTTGCAGGCTGCTGTTTGCACATGCCATTCGGCTGTGTGATTTATGCCAATGAGTCCACGCAAAGCCCTAAGAACGGGCTGCCAGCAATCAATCATCATTTTCGTTGGCGTTTACTGCGAAGGCAAGGGCCTGAATGAAACTGGCAGGTCACTTTGCTGCATTCCGCGAGGTGCTCTTCACCATTTTTGTGCCCGCCCTCTTCCTCACCGGCACCCATGCCACCCTGCAGGCTTCCCTCTGCGACGAGGTTTGCTTGTCTTGAACATGACCCCATCTTGTCATGCGCCCAAACCAGCTCTTATCCGCTTGACAAGCAGGAATTTGGGGCAAGTGGCAAGTCCGCATTCTTGTGTGGCCAAGGGGCGCATGGCAACTCAGTAAGCTCAAAGCTGTTGGCATTTCCCCGGCAAACCTTGCACTGGTGGGGTCAAGATCACTTTGCTCGAGGCGACAAATCCATTGGGTGTTGTGAAGAACAACGCTGCAGATTATCCAGACAAGGATAGGATCGGTGACAAGCCTTGCATTCTTCGCATGTTTCAACATGTGCATGCCGCACAACATCTTTGTCATCGGTCCTGGCCACTTAGCAGGAAAGCTTAGCAGGAATGTCTTGAAAGGTGGGCCAACATATGTTGCATCGTCCATGCAGCATTCCGTTCGAAAGGACTTGCCATATTGCATCTGTTGCGATTCGTTTTTGGATGGGCTGTTTGTCGTTCACCGTGGAGTGTATCCTAAAATAGCCTCCGCTCAAAACATGCTGGCCTCTTTCCTTGTGCTGGCTTGCTCTGACTGCATTGCCAGGCCAGCTTTCCTTGATCCACGGATAGCCTACGTGCCTACGGCTGCTGCAGGGTGCAGTCCGGCTTCTGCCTTCTTTGTTCTGGATTGGATGGGCAAATGTTTTGTTAGCCAGATACAAGTCCACTGCAAAGACACACCCAAGGAGATCGTTGCACAAATTCACATGGTTGAAGAAGGGCCAAGCCCTGCTGCATTCGAAGGGCTTATGTGACCAGAACAAGTACATGCGCCGTGGTAACTGCACCCTGCACAGGACCGTTCCGAAATTGCAGGTAGCGTTCCTGTGATTGGCGGCCGAATCAGATGGGAGGAATTTGCACAGCGCTGGTGAATGCTCAGGCGAGTTGGTCGGTCAGGAGGAAATGGATGGCATAAGAGCCGATGGCTGGAGGCAGTTCAGCAAAAAGCAGCTGCCTGGTTGGGCAGAAGGGGTTGGTTGAAACTGATGCGCAAAATCTGCGGCAAGTGAGGGAGCCATTTGTGAAATGCACTTGTGCAGACATGTTTTTGCGAGGGAGAGACCGAGAATATGTCACCACTACGTACATTGTCCTGGGTAGTGAGAGAGCGGAGCTTACAAGTTCGGGCCAAGGACTTGCACCATCCTGTTGCAGTTTGCCTCTCAAGTCATTGCAACCATGAGATTTTCTTGACTTAGTAGATGCACCATATGCACCCATACAGCGTCGAATTTTCCTGTTGAAGTTCCATGGGGAAGAGGCTGATCAATGACTCCTCCGGGATTTCATACACGACTGCTCAGCTCTTGCCTGTAGCTGCAGCTTTGCCAGTTGTTCTTTTGCCGTTTTGCAGCTGTTATGCGGGCCTGGACTGTGGATACACGAAAATCAAGCAGCATGGGCCTTCAAAAGATGCTTGAGGGGCGAGTTTTTTTTTCAATGCTTCGTTTGAAACAGGACCTTGAGCCACATGAATGGAACCGGGTGTTTGCCAGGTCTCTCCTTGGTCCAGCTGCTCCGACCGAAAGGTGGATGCAACACTTTTTTAAAAAAGTCTTCGTAGGTGCCTCTGGCAGCCTTTGAAGCCTCGCAGCCAGGGACTGGGCCGTTTGGATTTGTTCGGCTTTCGAAGGCACCTAAACCGGTCTCCTGTCGATCCTTGGAACAAGAGCCAAGCAGCGGAGCCTTTTTGGTGCTGAGAGTGCATCCATTCCCTGACCCTTGGGCCAGCTCAAGGCAAAATCTCTTTTCCCCACGCTGCTTCTGGAAGCAGATGCCATGCCTTTTTTTTTTTAAGCCAATGCCTCGAGTGAGCTGAATCCTCAGCTTGCCATGTAGCAACGCTGTGTGGACGGGATGGGCATGTTTCAACCATTTCGCATGTCAAGGAAAGAGGCTACTGAACAGCCCGAATTGAGTCACATCAGATCACTCGGCTTCGGATTCTTCTAGCCTTACCAATGCAGAAAGGGCTTTCCGCGTTCTACGCGTTCATGTTTGGAGACGAGCATGGTTTCTGACAGCTCATTTTGCCTTGGAGACTCCGCAAGCCCACGCGAATGGCACTGGATTATGGCGTAGCTGGCGTGTGCATCATCCCATGGCACGACCTTCCTGTCACATATGGATTGTCTTGCAGAATCCTTTACAGGGCCCCCTATTTCAGTGACGCGAATACACCTTGCTTTCTTTGACGCAAGTGTAGCCTGTCCGGACAGCAAGCTGCGCGGCACTGGATTTCAGCGGCACATGAGGTTCTTCAATACACTCACATTGCCTTGTGAAACATGATGTATATCGCGGTGTGTCTCTGCGTGTGTGAGTGCATGTGCAAAACTGACCACGGTTAAGTCTTCTTTATTCAACAACACCACTGGACTTGGTGTTGCTGATCTTGTTTGTGGGCAGTTAGCCGGAGCTCGCCCGCGCTACTCAAAAGTGCTGCGCGAATGATGGGTAGCCGAGGGCTTCTGGGGGCAAGCCCATCATTTCTGCCAGGCTGCAGACTTGGGGTACCTGGCTAGGTTGTTTTCTGAGGGTCTTGGCAACTTCAGAGCGCCTCCACTGTCAAGTAGTTGCTTATTGCTAGCTTTCATGTCGCTCCCTTAAAGCGTGTGATTTCGAAGTGTGCAGGCCCCTTGGTGGAATGCCGCCCACCTCTTGCGCCCCCGCTTGATTTGGACTACTTAGACTGATTCTCCTTTCTGGGAAGGTGTTGCCACACAATGGCATGAGGAGTGAAGCCTTGATCAGTTTGGCACGAGTCAGCTGGCAAGGTGAGGATCTTTCTTCGTGCGAGTGCGGGCCAGATTTCTTGAGGAGTGAACCCTTTCTTCTGAAGAAATGTCCAGACGGGTTGGGGCTCCCTCATGCCCAAAAGCGGCAGCATTTGGCTTTCACTGGGGGAAAGTGACAACCCTGGCTGTGTTGCTTCTGTTGGTTTTAGACAGTGCGGTGCACGTGCACCAGCCCGAGTGGAAACAGCTGAAAGGGGTTTGGATTGAAGCCCTAATTTGACCAGAGGGCCTCACTCCGATCGTCCTATTGGTTGAGAACGGAACCCCGACCTGTTTACTTGTGGAGAGGGGCGGGCATGCCACGTGATTTGCACCGGTGCCAGGTCAATTCCTTCCAGGTGTCCCCCAATCTTCCAGAGGCGCTTTGGAAATCATGGGATCGCTACACCAAGGAGCGCACATTTTTTTGCAAGAGTTGTTCAGTGGCTCTCTTTTTGCCTTTTTTGTTTGGTGGGTTCCCCACCAAAGCGATCAATCCAAACAAGGTTTCCCTTTTTCTACCAGGTTCACGGGGGAACTGTTCATGGCAAGGGCGAGCACAAACGATGATGGTTGCTGAGGCCATTTCACGATTGAGGGAGGGTTGTGACATCAACGCTTTACAGTGAATAAGCCCCATGCTCTCCGGGGCAATTTCTGTGATTTGCTCTGGTAGAGTGATCAGATGATAGGATTTACCACTATGCTATCCCGTCAAGAGCACAGCATGCAGAGCATCTTGGTGAAACAACGGCACGATGGTCTTTTAAGAAAAATATATAGACCGGAGACATGAGAACTGCGATCAAGTCAGGCGAGTCCGTGGCGATCGGATCAGATCGTGCGTGGGAAGAGTTTGAAGGACCCCAACCCAGCCGAGTGAAGTTGCTAGGGCCTGGAGCTGGATTCCGCCACCGGGCCCGGGGCTGAGGGGTCTTGCAACTTCCGGGCTGTATGGCAATTCTGGGAGGGCGGGTTCGGGGCATCCCTCGCCACGCTTGGGACTTTGAAGAAGCTCCCCCAATCTTTGCTGAAGTCAATCATTTGTCCATGTTTTCTCTCAATTGTTCATGTTTATTCTCGAGACATGCTGGATTGTTCGCATATGCCCTTGACTATGACCTTGTTTGTTGGCAGTAGAAGTGAAGCCTGAGAGGATTCCGTGGCCGTGCCGACAACACTATGGGGGGCCCTGGGGGTGCCAACGCCTGTCGTGTAAATTGCAGACGATTGGTTGGACGAACCTCTTGAACAATGGACACAGGCAACTTTGCACAGCCAATCGGGCAAAGTCTGTTGTTTCTGAACCTCATGAGACGGCTTAAGCTGCACTCTGGCTGCAGCCAAAGACACGTCTGGCAACTCTCCCAAGCAATTCTTTTTGCAAATGCTGCTAGTAGCAGGATACTCCTTTTGTTCAAGCCTTTTTCCAGTCAATGTTCCTTGGGGATTTCATGCCTTCTTCGCCACGTTCAGGATAATCTCTGGCACCCTCCCTCTGGGCAAGCTGGTTGACGAGGTGCGCAGAGAGCCTTAGATCGCTTGTTCAGGTGTGTGCGTGTGTTGTATGGGACACTTTCATGTTGATACGGTGGAACATCAACAATGCATTCTCATACTTTCAGGTTCAATATTTGCCGCGGTTAACACCTCTGAGATGAATAGCAATGTCGAGCAGTGACCCTCTGTTTATGTGCTTAGTTTGTTTTGGAAAGTAACCAACCTCTGTGGACAGAAGTGCCGCTGTCATGACCATCGATCAAATGATACATGCATTTCGATGGCCATTTTGGCAAACAGGATCACATTTTTTGCCTTTCCGATCCTTGACCCACCTTTCTTCTCACTGTCTGGGACGACCAGTGCTTGGCTTTCGGTCTGGACCGGACCGAGTTCAACGCCGACCTTCCGACCTTGTGGATTGCGATCCGGCTCCGCCTCAGTCTTCCAGATATCGCATCCATGAGACTCAGTCTGCTGCTGAACCATTCCCGAGTTTGTTGGACAGCATTTGCTCCCGGAACCCGCGCGCCAAGCTGCGCAACCTTCTGGCATTTCGTGCACGCGGCCAATCCACATGCCGACCTTCTTGCCTGGCTATACATCCGGCGCACCACCCCCGCCTCCAAAGTCCCAGCCGCAAGTGGAGGCTGCTCGGGCTACGCAGCCACTTCCAGGTTCCCACGTTCAACCGCAACACTGGCACCTTTGCCTGCGCCCCATTGTGATCTTGGCCACTTCGTCTGGGAGGACAGGCCACACCCGAGTTTTGGATATTCCGTTTGCACCTGAAACATGTTTTCTGTGATGTTCACCCTCGTCTTGTCTACGTTTCAATCCGCTGGCCTTGTCGGTTTAGTGTACTTGGCCTTTTTGCGCACCAGTCACACCAATGTTGACTGTATCCAAGCGACCATAGCCTTTCAAATCGACATTCTTCCGGCCAAGGCGTCCTGTGTTTGGCTCTGCAAAAATACCACTCACCGTGCGCGAGGAGCCGACAAGCTAGAAGCTGGCTGCCGACTCTCCCTCTGCTTGGGTTTCATGTGGGACTAATTGGCTTGACGGGTTAGCTGTGGGCGCTTCTAGTGGGCACAAAGTATGTTTCCGCAGGCCACCTACCGCGTGACGGCCAAGAACGATTCTGGCGAGGCAGGGGCAGGGATGGGGATTTCTGGCCTGGATATCGCTGTTGAGAAAGTGCAATGCCATGCCATGCCATGCATTTTTAATGTAGTGCGATGCGATATATGTATGCATGTTCATTGTGCAGCATGCA